CAGGAATGGCTTGACTCGTTAGACGATACATATTTTTCAGAAAGTCTCCATTTTTTACATTTCCCTCAGGTAATATAAATTCCTGAAAGCATTGAAAAAATAAAGACATTTTTTGAAATCCATTCATAAGATGCGCAAGAGGAATTCATCACACAAACTTCAATCAATCTTAAAAAAAAACCAAAAAAACAGGCTTCAACAACTCCCTTGAGGTAGGTGTTAGTATTATCTTGATTCTACTTACAGAAGAGGCTTAGAAAAATTAAGCAATTTGCTCAAGGTCAACAGCCAGCAGAGCAACGACACCAAAACTTGGACCCAGTTCTGCTGATGCCAAAGTACCAGTTCCAGTTTATACTACTCCGCTAAGCTAGTTAGTTACAGTTCTTAATTACATGTGATCAGAAAGCTCTAGTTACAGCCTTTATACGTGATCAGAAAGCTTGTATCAGATCTATGAGGCAGGTGCTGTAGGAAACTGGGCACAGTGTAGGGACATCTGACGAAGTATTGGACCATGGGTCCAGGAGAGTCAGCAAATTCGTGAAGGAGAGAGAATCTTTAATGGGGGTCAGAGTGACCATCTTTCTGGCAAAAGGGCAAAAGGGAAAATTGGACACACTGGTATAGAAAGACAAGGGATGGTTAGAGAAGGAATCAAGGTGGTTTCTCTTCTTCCTCAAAGACTCTAGGGGCTCCACGTTTGAGTCTGTTTCAGAATAATTGTGAAAAGCCGTGGAGTTTCTAGGACGATGGGGGAAGAAGAGTTGGCCCCAGGAAGATGGAATTGAGCCAGGTGAGGCTCTATCACGGTGTAGAAAGGAGGACCCAGGAGCAGGGAGCTGGGCTTCGGGAATGGTGGGGCTTGAAGGCAGAAGGCACAGCAATAGGGGAATGGATGCTCCTTTCTCATGAGCTGTGTGATGAATTGTTCTCTTAATCAAGTTCCCAGCATAACTGCAAACAGTGCTCTCAAGAACTGGGACGTAGAAGACGGGAAAGAGTGCTTTCTGGTTTGGTGCAGCAGATCCTCTAAGACAGTGGCTTTCATACTTTTTTGGATTATGACTCACAGCAAGGAGTACCTTTTCTCTCATAAGCCAGTGACATATACATATCTATGAAACCGAAGCAAAATTTCATGGGACAATGCTTACCCTTACTATGCAGGATACATGCTGGTATTTTCTATTCTCCTCTGTTTCATTTGAGCAAAATTGCTGGTACCTCTCACGAAACCGATTTCTCAATCCTTGAAAGGGTCATGACTTACCGAGTGAAAAATCAGTTCTGAGTTGCACCATGTGTCAACAAACAGAATGTCCACAGAAGCCATCCTTCGGTTCTTACAAACCACAATCAACAGCATGGAAGTAGTTGCATGCAGAATTTTTTCCAAGGTATAGAGATATAAAAGCAAGGTTTTAATTCTGGTTAGCCTGTGTCCTTATAGCCTGCAACTAACTTCCACTGCAGTGGATTTTCAGATTGTCCGGAATGTGATTCTGTAAGGGGGGATTGGAAACATGTTCTGAATATGTGCAGAAGTTTCCTGAGTACCATTTCAGTTCAGTCGCGCTAAGCCTGAGATAGGGCGTCATCCCTCGCAAGCTTCCCAGGACCCCTTGGCTGTGCACACAAAGAGAACCCAGCTTTTCTTGTTTGGGCCTTTGCTCCTTCCTATTTGATTGAATCTGAAGAGGAACTGTTTGCCTTAGGCCGTACATCCTGAATCACAATCAGGATGCTGCTGGCACAGAAAAGCTGCTCCCACCCTTGCCTGAAATAACTGAACAGGGAAATAGAGTTAGTTCCTCCCATCCCCAGCCTTAAAGAAAGAGGCTCACAATTTATGGTGTGCTGGCAATACATCAGAAGTCAGTTCAGTCACTTACAGTAAAATTAAGGAGGGCAGAACAATGAATATAAAGTGAGATTAAAACACCTCATTAAGGGACAAATTGTTCAGTGGACCCCAGAATAACGATGCTTTGGTCTTTGTTAGCCAGACTCCAGTGGCCTTCAGAGACGCTTCCTTGTCTATACGATATGAAAAAAGGTATAAAACCACATCTGCAGCTTTTTCAATTCTTCAACAAATATGCTTTATTCAAACTATCTATCAGGGACAGTGCTACTAGGATATATGGGTTCCCTAGGGCTGCTGTAACAAATTACTATAAACTGGAGGGCTTTTTTTTTTTTTTTCTTAAATTTAATTTTATTTTTGGCTGTGTTGGGTCTTCATTGCTGCATGCAGGCTTTCTCTAGTTGTTGCGAGCAGGGGCTACTCTTTGTTGAGGTGCATGGGCTTCTCACTGCGGTGGCTTCTCTTGTTGTGGAGAATGGGCTCTAGGTGTGGGGGCTTCAGTAGTTGTGGCACGGTGGGATCTAGGTGCGCGGGCTTAGTTGCTCCGCGGCATGTGGGATCTTCCCGGACCAGGGATCAAACCCGTGTCCCCTGCACTGGCAGGAGGATTCGTAACCACTGTGCCACCAGGGAAGTCCTAAACCTGCGGGCTTTAAACAACAGGAATTTATTCCCTCATGGTTGTGGAGGCCAAAAGCCTGAAATCAAGGCATTGTCAGAGCTGCTCTCCCTTCAAAGGCTCTAGAGAATCTTTCTTTGTGTTGTCCAGCTTGGTGGTCCTTGCATTCCTTGGCTTGTGGCTGCATCACTCTAAGCTCTGCCTCCAGCTTCATGTGGCTTTCTCCTCCTTCTATGTGTCTCTCCTTTACGTGTTTCTTATAAGGACACTCACTTGTCATTGGACTTAGGGTCCACCGACCTGGATAATTCAGGCCGATCTCATCTGGAGATCTTTAATTATATTTGCAAAGACCCTTGTTTTTCCAAGTAAGGTCTCATTCATAGGTACTGATGGGGTTAGGACATGGCCATATCTTTTGGAGGGCCACCATTCAACCCACTACACAGAGGATACAAAGTTGAAAAGGACAGGGTTGTTTTTCTCAAGGAGCTCAGTCTAGTGGGGGAGGCCCTAGTTATATAACCATGTCAAAAGGATAACCACAGACAGAGCTGTGTTCCATGGGCTGAGGGGATCTTACGCGTTTGTACTGGGAGTTGATGTGGAGGTTATAGTGGGGCAGGGAGGGAGTGGTTTTGTTTTTGTTTTTTAACTTTTGAACTCTACAATTTTCTGGCATCTAGAAATCACTATAAAATAAGTCCAGTCTGAATGGAGAGGATTAATAGCAGCAGAGCCAGGTCTTTTGGGTCTGGCTGAGTTCAGCCAACCCTGCTGGTTGTCTGGAGGTTTGGGAGAGCGGGCAGGAGAACGAGGGAAAGACGAAGCCCAGGAATTGATTGGGATTGTTGATGGCTACGTTGCTGGCAGGTGAGGAGTAAGACACCATGAAATGGGTTATTGGCTTTCTCTGTGGTGGAGAAGGAAAAGAGGGGCATCTGTGTCTGCCGCCCAGCCCAAGTCAGAGCATGTGGGCCCTGGTGGGGGGATGCCACAGACCAAGGCAGCTGCTCCACTGAGGTCTTCTTCTCTCCAAGGCCTTGGGCCAAATGATCTGCCTGGGCCTGGCACGGTGGAGGAGGGCAGCTACTGCCTCTAGACGTGCTGGGGACCAAAATAGAGATGGTTTGCACATTTCTCTTTTGGGGACAGCGTTTTTACAATCTTTGCAGATTATCACCTCCAGGTCTCTATGCTCTCCTGGGACTTCACCTTCTTTGTGATTATTAAAAAAATTCTTGGTAATAGATATTATGGAATTATTGTTAATATGCTTGGGTGTAATACACTTGTTACGAAGAAGAACATCTTTATTCTTTTTTTTTTTTTTTTTTTTTTTGCGGTACGCGGGCCTCTCACTGCTGTGTGTGGCCCCTCCCACCGCGGAGCGCAAGCTCCGGACGCGCAGGCTCAGCGGCCATGGCTCACGGGCCCAACCGCTCCGCGGCATGTGGGATCTTCCCAGACCGGGGTACGAACCCGTATCCCCTGCATCGGCAGGCGGACTCTCAACCACTGCGCCAACAGGGAAGCCCTATTCTTAAAGAGCACATACTGAAGTATTTATGGGGGTGTTACTAATGTTGACAGTTTCCAATATTTCGGTGAAAATGTAGATAGATAAACCTAATATCACAAAAATGTTAAGAATTGCTAAGTCTACGTGGGAGGTATGTGGATGTTCATTGCTCTATTCTTTCAACTTTTTTCTGTACTTGAAATTATTCTTAATAGAAATCTTGGGGGAGATTGGGAAAGGAAAATTCTTGAAGCAGAGTTTCTTGACCTATGTTTCATGGGCTTTGGGGGAAGAGGTAGATCAGCTTCAGGGACCAGGAAGCTTCGAAATGTATACGCCAACCTTTGCGGGGTGTGTGTGTGTGTGTGTGTGTTTCTATCCTCATTATGGGGAAAGGTTTATTGTTTGCAGCTCTTCTTCGATTCTCAAATGGACCTATGACTCCCCTTCCTCAAGATTAAACACCATTGCTTCAAACTAGAGATAAATTTGCAAGTATTATACCTTTTGTAAATGGATACAAATGGCCAGAGTCTGTTAGCATGTATCATTAGTACTTTGTTGCAAAATCTGAGTTAGTTTATAAATATAAATTGTATACTACTCTGTCTTCATATTCATTAACTCATTTCTTGGTTTCTCTTACTTATTACTTTTCCTATTACAGTTGACTTCTTAGACTTTCTCATAGTTTAAAATACTAATTGCTAATATGAACATATCTGTTTTCCTTTGCACAAATTTAAAACTGAAATAATCATTTTGGTATCTTTCTACATTATAAAAATAACATAGCCTCACTATATACAGTAAGTCTCCTACATATGAACGAGTTCTGTCCTGAGAGCACGTTCTTAAGTCCAATTTGTTTGTAAGTCCAACGAAGTTAGCCTAGGTACCCAACTAACACAACTGGCTATATAGTACTATACTGTAACAGGTTTATAATACTTTTCACACAAATAATACATGCAAACAAACACAAAAAATAAAGAAAACGTTTTTAATCTTACAGTACAGTACTTTGAAAAGTACATTAGTACAGTACAACAGCTGGCATAGAGGGGCTGGCATCAGTGAACAGGCAAGGAGAGTTACTGATGGGAGGAGGGAAAGGAGGTAGGAGGTGGTAGGGCTGAAGGATCGTCAGCAATAGGGGATGGAGGGCAAGCTGCAATTTCACTCACACCTGACGTTGATGGAATGCACGTTCGCATCTTTGAAAGTTCGCAACTAGAAGGTTCCCATGTATGGGACTTACTGTACAACTTGTAAAATACAGAAATGTATAAAGAAGGAAATAAAGTTACCATTAACCCATGCTCCGGAGGTAACTGCTATTAACATCTTGTTGGATTTCTTGCTTTTGGTGTGTAGGCTCCTGTGTGTATGCATATATACATATATATATATATATATATATATATAGATGAAACAAAATTGAATAAGGCTGAACATGCAGGTTTATATTATGCAAAAAAGAACATTTCAAACTTCTTTACACTTTATTGTCTCCCCAATTTTTATATAGAAGCATTCAAATGGATTTCTTCAGTCTTCATCTTAAATATGGTTGTTCAAATCCATGTGTTTAGGTTTTAGTGAAGGCAACTTTTCCTTGAAATCTCTTATCTCTTCTGAGTACTTAATACCCTGACTAATATTATTTATGTTCAGTGCCTAGAGTTATAGTTTGTTTTACCCATTGAGTTGCCCCCATGAGATGGGCAAGAAAAATACAATTTTTCAGTCCATACTGGTTGTTCAGGATAGAACCAAAATACTGCTGACCCCAAACAGTTGGAAATCTGGGGGGGCTGGGGTTGGGGGGATGAAATCTGAATAAACTCTGATTTGTGTGTAGCTTGTTCTTACAGGTCTGATATTTGGTGAAATCAGAAGAGTGCAAAGGAAAAAAGCTATGGCTGCCTGCAGGAGCCACTTCTGGGAGCCAGGAGGTTGCCATAGAGACGTCATGGGGCAGAGGAGAGACAAGGGGCCTGGAGAGACTGGCCGTGTGACACTTGCCATCCCCTGACTTTCAGTGGCACTTGCTGAGGCCCTAAACACATTTTTTTTTTTTTTTCCTAAACACATTTTGATTTGAACCAGGATTATTTGTTTACTTAGGTTAATGTACGTAAAGCGCCAACAAAGTGTCTGGTACTTAAATAGCACAAAACAAATACTAATCCCCTCATGTCTTATTAGACCATGAGTTCTTGGGAGGCATTTGTGCTGTTCAGTGCAGTGTATAAGAACATGGGGTTGGATCCAGATAAACCTGTTTAGGGTGTCGAGTTTGCCTCTTATTAGCAGTATGACTTTGGGAAACTTGCCTCGTAAGGATAGTAATAGTTCCCATCTCTTTGGGTGAAAGGATTAAGTAAAACCATCCCTATAATAAAGGCTAATATTTATCAAGGGTTTACTATATTCAGAGCACTGTTTTAAGTGCTTTAGGTATGACCATCTTATTTAATTCACATAAATCTGTGTGCTAGGTACTAGCATCCCCATTTTGCAGATAAGAAAACTGAGGCACAGAGAAGTTGAGTAACGTGTCCAGGGTCACAAAGCTATTACATAGGTGAACTGGGATTTGAACTGAGGAAGTTAGTACGCTGGTATTTTTACATCCACTTTGCACGGCACCTTGCCGTGGCCATCCCCTCATTGCGTGTTTGTGCGACTGCACGCCTGGGAAATACTCGCTGAATAACATCTACAGGAGTGTCTTTCCAGGTTGCTAGTTAGAAGAGCACTAAATGTATTCCTGTTGTGAATAAGAAAATGTGCTCATTTAGAAAAGAGACACATCATATGAACCTGATATTCAGTCCTTTAAAATAGTAGCTTTAAAACTCATGTTTGAATAACCTCATGGAAGAAAGGTTGGTCTGGTGAACATTTGTGCTGTTGCCTATTCCAATCAGCTGCTGAGTTGGGCTTCTGCCAGATTAATGACTCTTCTCCCATATGCAAGAGGGCGAAGCATGAGAGTGTTACCAGGAACTGAGGCCTGAACGGGCTTGCAGGGCCGGGCTCCCAGCCGAGTCACACCCAAGTGGTGGGCGCTTGCCAGCTTTGGGGCTAAGCTATTGCCCCAGAGAGGCTGAGCAGGGCGGGCAGCTCTTTGCTTGCTGATTCTCTGGTCTCCCAGGGCAACAGCCTAGAGCCGACTGTGGTCACCCGTGGGAATGCTCCTCCTGACTCAGCGGGGCCTGCAGTGCCCCAGGGTGTGGCTGTGTGTTCCTTTGGGCCCCTCACAGATAGCATTTATTTCAAAGGATATCACTGCGCCATCGTGGGTTGAGGGCTAGAGCTGCAGGATGGAAGCTGCTTGATTTGAGCCCTATTAGGTCCTCAGAAAGTGTCAACTTTTAGAACTTTTCACTGGGCTGCTGCTGTATGCATAAAGTGCTTAAGATGGAGACATTTGAAGCCTGTTAGTGTATCAGTACATCTGTGACCATCAGAAAGAGACTAGAGACCTCGGTTCTAGAATCAACTCTTTCTCTTATGTGTTGTATATTTGGAAAGATCACTTTCTCTCCTCTAGGCCTCAGTTTCCTCATCTGGAAAATTAATATAACTCCTGCCCTACCTGTATCCCTGGATTCGGCTGAGAACCAGACGGGATGATGAATATAAAAATGGTCACTAAGCAGCCAGTGCTGCCTGAAAGCAAAGAGCCATTTCTTCTCCTGCAGGTGAATCTTCCTGCCCTGGTTCCTAGTGATCCTCCTGGTTTTTTTTTTTTTTTTGGCGGTACGCGGACCTGTCATTGTTGTGGCCTCTCCCGTTGTGGAGCACAGGCTCCGGACGCACAGGCTCAGCGGCCATGGCTCACGGGCCCAGCCGCTCCACGGCATGTGGGATCTTCCCCGGACTAGGGCACGAACCCGTGTTCCCTGCATCAGCAGGCGGACTCTCAACCACTGCGCCACCAGGGAAGCCCCCTCATGTTTTTTTGAGTCTCTGACCATGGCCAGCTTGGAGGGCTGGAGTTTGATTTTATTAAGAGAAGTGGCTGGATTCCTGACCTGAGAGGCCAGCAAGGAGCTCCAAGAGGAAGGACAGTCTCAGGAAGTCGGTGTTGGAGGCTATGGGATTAGCCATGCCTGTTCTGTCTGGAAGCCTCCCTCCATTTCCAGCTTCAGTGGGTTGGGCTCTCATTTTACTAAAGGGGGTAATGCAGGTTTTCTTAGTGCCTCTCAGTCTTCCGCGGTACTTTTGGGAACTCTTTTATGTTAGGGGTACATATTGGAGTGCAGGGCACCTTCAGAATGAAGGTTACTTTGGGAGGGGGAAGTGGAGGCCTCGACAAGGCTAAATCTCAGCTCATAAGGACCAAAAAGGAGAGGAAGAGAGGGAGGAGGAAAGGGGGATGATGCTAGCCCAATGGCAGCTATGCTGGCTCTGATATGCTCATCATAGATTTTTTGGCAGGAACAACAGAAACTTTTCAGCCAATTCTTTTTTGAGGGGGAGGGAGTGGCACCCTTGTTCTTTGTGCATTAAGATATAGCTGTTGTTGTACCAGAAGAGCCTACTAATGGCTGCACAATGGTAGACAGGAGTGAGGTCTGGCCCCCAGGGTTCTGCACTCGGTTCCAGCTAGAGCATGTCCTCAGGGGAGTGACCTAAAACTTGTGTCACAGAAAGTGAAGGGATGCTTAGTGAGGAGCATGAAACTTGCCTTCATATACCTGAGGACCCATCCTGGGGAAGGGTAGCCAGCTCTGTTAGCTCCCAACCTTTCCTCCTCCTCCCCTACTCTCCAAGCTTTGGCTCATTATAAGCCAGAACTTTCTATAAGTCAAGATTCCTAAATGTGGTGAAGCAGAAACCGACTCACCTCATGAAGCAGCCCACGTGGAAGGGTCTCAGAGACACAGTGGGGTTGACCTAGCTGATGTCCCTCCAAGTCCCAGATCTCAAGGACTGAGTTTGCAAAGTTATGATCCGACCTACAGGAAGTTCACTCAGCAGTGCTCCAGAGCTTTCTCCATGATGAGAATATCCTTTAGGACTATATTGCTGGATCTTTCTCCATCACAGTAGGCCTTCGAGGTGCTGTAAAGTTCCACTGCCCTCTGGTTTTGCTGGGAGGGGAGGATGCCCGCATTGTCGTTCTGCGTTCTGACTAGCCCCCTTTTTCACATTTCTTCTTCCTTCTTTATTCTCATTTTGTTGCTCTTGGCGCTAGAATTTGTGGAGATTTGTTCATAACAATTACCCTCCGCCTTGAGAAGCATGTGGAATGTTTTAGGAATATTTTTACAGAGTCTCGGACCATATTTTTATGGCTTGAAATTAACCAGAGAACTGCAAAAATGCAGGCTTGCTTATTCAGCTCTACGTCCCGAAGACGAGCACTTCTCGCCTCCCGCTTCTGTTTTCTGGGTCCTTGGGCCACAGTTAGTCCTTAGACGGGATCCCTTCTCCTCTGACAGGACTATGGGTTCCATGAAGCTCTGTGTTTTTATCGTCAAGCCTTCTGGTCCTCTTCTCACCTCCCGGATACCGTCTTTCTCCTTGATTTCCTTTTTTCTCTCTTCAGTCCTTGCTGCCTCCCCATGCTCCATATTTCTTCCATCTTAGAAGCCCCTCTGAGCTGAAGGTACTTGTCTGCAATGGTGTTTATACCTGCTTCCTGAAGGACTCTCGGAGATCATGCATTTGGGGCGGAGGTTAAGATGAGTGGGCTTTAGTTCCCTTTAAAAGGGCTTTAGCCATTCAGACTATTGTTTCTCTTGGGAACTGAATTGACAGGATGCTAATCTCCAGCAGACATCCTTTTGCTCAGCCATGCTTGTGAAGTCCTCGTCCATTTCCACATTTTCATCATTTTGATCATTCTTTTCAGACTCCGACATAAAGGCAGGTGTCTGGTGCTTTTTATTTTCAAATTTAAAATGTTAAAGGCTGAGGAAAACTGTCTGAGTCTTGAATGTGAGTCCACAGAGCTCTGTTTGTTGGCCCATGACCCCACATCAACTGGGCATTATTGACGACTGTGCAACGGGTGTTGGGGGTCCGCACGAAGACAAAGGAACTGGTGTGACAGCTTCCTGCCCTCGGGCACTCAGAGTCCAGCCAAGGAGACCCCCCTAGGCCACGGTGAGGGCCAGACCAGGTGCTGTGGGTGCCCTGAGGGGGAAGGCTTGAATTCTGCTTGAGTGGAGATGGTGTAGGGGCAGAGAGGGGAAGGCTGTTCAGCTAAAAAGGTGAAATCTCAGGTGGGTCTTAAAGTACCTGAGGAAAATCTTGCTGGGAAGACAAGGATTCTGTGGGCAAGGAACAGCATTAGGAAAAGCAAGGGATTATGAGAAGAGCGGTATGTTTAGGGATCAGAGAGCAGCTGGGTGTAAGTAGGGGTAGTGGACGCGGGTGGAAGCCGGGGTGGGAGATTGGGGAGGTGTCTTAGAGGGGGCTCATGAAGGGCCTTGGGCGCCACGTGAAGAAGTTGGGATATTGGTGATGGGAGTCATATTGATCTCTGCCCCCCACCCCAATCACCACCACCTTTCTGGAGGGTTTTCCTGCCCACCAACTCGCTGCGAGATGCTCGGAGAGGCCTCTGTGAGTGTGTGTATCTCCGGCTGCAGAATGAAAGACAAACAGGAGTAGTGGGAGACTGGCCCCAAGGAGATGGCCTCGGAGGATTCTGGGATAATCCAGGTGAGAACCGTGGAGCATCCACAAGACAGGCAGCCTCTGCCTCACGGACCGCACGTCGATACTGCCCACCACGTCCAGCGACAGTGCCTCCCCTGGTGCTCAGGCTGCCTCTGGCTTGCTTCCCATCCTCTGTGGTCACCTATCACCTCCCTTCCCAGAACTCACCCTCTTGTTTACGGTGGCCCCTGACTGGGGCTGCATCCCCAAAGCTCCCTCAGGCACTCCCCCCAGGACACACAGGCCAGAGACATGGTGGGATGGATGAGGTGTAGCCTCGGGGGCCCCCCTGCAGAGGAACGCTTACAGGAAAACAGAAGTTCTCTGTGTCTCAGCTGAGTTTGGGCTGGACTCACCATTTCCTTCACATCCAATGCAGTCCCTGTGGCTGTCTGAGGAAAAGGATTGTGTGGGCTGGGGAGGCCTGCCTACATTAATGTGAACTCAAAGGCTTCCTGCTCACGGCATGGGATGGCTTCAGACCTGTTTTTGCAGGCCTTTTGGCTGCAACCGGGGGAAGTTCTTGCATGACATCACCCAGCTGAACATGTGCTTGTGTCATCCTCAGGAGCCCTGGCAGCTCCCAGGGACTCTGCCAGCTTCCATCTCCCGGAGAAGAAGCCCTGTCCTCCTGGCCCTTCCCTCTATACTTTGCCTCCCAAGGTTTAGAGCAGTGTTTGCCTGAATGTTCTAGCTGTTCAGCAGACAAAAGATCTCATGGTGGTCCACAACCTTTGGGAAGACTCTGGGTTGAAGAATGCTAAGTAGTTTAGTTCACTTCAGGCCTTCTCGAGATCTCTAACATGCTAATACAGTTGGCCCTCTGTAGCCAGTGGAGGGTGGATTGAACTATGCCTTTTTTTTTTTTTTTTTTGGCTGTGTTGGGTCTTCATTGCTGCTCATGGGCTTTCTCTAGTTGCGGCGAGCGGGGGCTACTCTTCGCTGTGCTGAGCGAGCTTCTCATTGTGGTGGCTTCTCTCGTTACGGAGCACGGACTCTAGGCGCAGGCTCAGTAGTTGTGGCGCACAGGCTTAGCTGCTCCACGGCATGTGGGATCTTCCCGGACCAGGACTCAAACCCGTGTCCCCTGCATTAGAAGGCAGATTCTTAACCACTGCACCACCAGGGAAGCCCTACTATGCCATTTTATATGGAGGAGTTGAGCATCCCTGGATTTGGGGATCCACAGGGGTCCTAGAACCAATCCCACACCAATCATGCGGGATGACTGCATATATACTGTGAGTCTCCCAGAGTGGTTAAGAATATGAACAGTCCATTTTCCACACTTATTTGGCTAAGGCGCTTCCTCATGCCCCTTTCTTTGTTACCGTAGGGGCTTTCCCTCTGGGGAAAAGGAACTCAGCTGGGGGCTGAACTTTGTGGAGAAGATTCTGAGAGCAGCTAAACTTTATCTCCTAGATTTTGGAGGGATTCTAATTAGGGTCAGCAACACCCCAGTTTGCCTGGAGCAGTCTTTTTTTTTGTTTTTTTGCGGTACGCGGGCCTCTCACTATTGTGGCCTCTCCCATTGCGGAGCACAGGCTCCGGACGCGCGGGCTCAGCGGCCATGACTCACGGGCCCAGCTGCTCCGCGGCACGTGGGATCTTCACGGACCGGGGCACGAACCCGTGTCCCCTGCATCGGCAGGCGGACTCTCAACCACTGCGCCACCAGGGAAGCCCAAGCAGTCCGTTTTATATGCGTTGCCCCAGCATAATTCAGATAGACTCCCGACTTTTACTCTCCAAAGTGCCCTGTTTGAGGGCTGAATTATATGGTCACCCTGGCCGTAAGTCCACTACAGGGTCCAGGGCCCAGCCACTGGCCTTCTGGACTCCAAAGGGCAGCTATTGTTAGACTTACTTCGGCTTCTGCCCATAACACAGTCTGATGTCACCCTTTGACTCACCACTTGCTCTCTGACAACCTTTGATATTTGCCAGTGGGTCCCGAATTCTTTCCCCTTTATTCAACCACCATATTCAGCCTGGCAAAATGCCTCACCTTCTCCAAAGTGGTTCTGCAAGGGAGAGCGACAGAAAATCAGGGCCCCTAAGAAACGCAGACCTTTTGTGTTAGGTGTCCCTTCACAATGCAGGCCTTCAGTCGTGGCATTTCTGGACTGCCTCAGCCCATGAACTTTTGGACTCTGCGTCTGCTGGTCTGTCTCTGGACTGTTTGTCTGTGTCATTCTCTCTCCTCCTTCCCTTGTCTCCTCTTTATTCCTGCTACTGAAACAGCCACCTTCCTGCTGTCAGATGCTCTGAGGGAATTCGTGTTAGAAAATATCAAGAAACCATTCTTATTTAGGGGATGAGAGGAATAAAAGGAAAAAGACCAAGGGTAGGAACCAAATAGCTGATGAATTAGGGCGATCACAGAACTTATGGAGAAAATTGAAAGAATTAGAAATTTTCTTGATTCTTTTGGAGGGGCAATTAATGGCCTGTAAGATTTGATGTCAACTTTTGTTCGCTTTTTGAAAAATATTTTTGTTGACAAATTCATTTTCAGAGTGTTAGAGTCTGGCTTTCCAAAATTCTTTACGTGGAGACTCAAAGTGGAAAGATGAGGATTTACTGAAGAAATGCTTTCTTTTTATTTGATAAAGTAAAAAGTGAGAAACATCTTTAAAATTTGCAAAAGCCTCCAAAAAATCTCACCAGTTAGAAATACAAGAGGGAACTAGTGATCAAGTATTTGGGATTTCTTTTTTATTAGGGGATGTTGTTGGATTTAAATCCTACATACCTGAGTTTCATCTGGTTGTAAATGTCCCAGGCAATAGGGTTTCTTCATGGATTTTTGCTTCATGTTCTTAGTTGTCCGGGACAGACTCTTAAACCCTTGTCTCTTTCTCAAAAGAAAAAAAAAAAAAAAGTAACTATTTTGATTTTAAATTTAATCCTTTAAAAAATTGCTCAAGTTATGGATCTTAAAAATAAGATCCACTCTTTTTTGGTGACCATTTTGGCCCTTTTTTCCTTTCCCCCCACCCCCTTTCTCCCACCAACGGCATAGTTTTGCTTTGCCTTTTTTTGAGCATGTGGAGGAAGTATTGTTTTCTCCTTAACTCTTTTGAAAGAATGAGGTTATATGGCTTTAATACTGTCATCTAGGCTTTCCTAGTATGTGTCTGTTTATAGCAGTTTTTAATTGGCCTAAATACCATAGTTTTCAGCTCATTCGTCTGTTGTAGAGTCTTCATGACTTTCCTTGACCAAACCAAACCAAACTAAACAAAAATCAAATCAGAGCCCACTCTCAAAAACACAGCAAAACTGGCCCGCTGGTTCTCAGGAGATAACTGACTAAGGTTACTGTCTTATTTTTTTTTAATATATTTATGCACATAAATATATGCATATATATCGGTATTACATTTCAAATTTTTTTCAAAAGATGCTTCAACCCTATTATGTAAATCCTGACTGAAAAACTTGAAAGAAATATTTGTACCTAGACATTAAAATCAAACCTTGATTACACAAGCTCCACCTCATTTTGTTGACTTTATTTTTAAGAGAGAAGGCCATTTAATTAAAAAAATTCCCCATTTCTTTCTTTTCTTCCCCTCTCCCCTCCCCCACCCTTGCTATTGTCTCTTAGGACCAGGAAGTTTATATGTAAACAGAAGCTGTAATCAGACCCCTGACCTCCTCTGGGCTTTCAACCCAGTGTTTCCACAGAGGGATTAACCCCAAATACCAACTTGCTCTCAGAGGCAAAATTGTTCCTGAGGCGGGCATCACCAAAGGGTTTTCTTCTCTCTAGGCTTTCACATTCACCCTGCAAATAAGGTCTTCTCAAAGGGAGGCTTAAAGGCGGCCACGGGAAAGCAAATTGCCGGGCAGCCTGGAGCCGGGAGGGATGCTGAGAATTCTCTGGGCTCTCCAGCCCCTTAGTCTGTCCTCTGCCCACCAAGTGGTCATAACCTTCCCGATCCATGAGTGTGGTGGGAAAGGGCCAGTTTGCTTGGTCTAATAATGCATCGCTCTGTGCATGCGTGTGCATACTTGTGCGAGTCAGTGTGGGTGCGCATATTCCCATCTTTGGATTTACACACAGGGTGTCTTGTGGATGGCCGGCTTGGGGGCAACTCAGGGGTGCTGGCAAGGAGCAGAGTGTGGGGATGGTGGGGATCATGATTTCCTTCTGGGGGGGGGTGGTCACGAGCAATAGTCCTGGCCTCTTGTCCAGAGCCACAGCTGTGTGCCTACAAGGGGAAAGTTTGCAAGTCGTTCTGTTTTATTCTTCCCTGCAGGTCTTAGAATGTCCACTCATTCTAAGACTTAAGGGAACGCTTTGAACCAGGCATCAAGCTCTGGGCTGGACGCCAAGTCAGCTCTGAAAACAGTCAGAGCTCCCCTCTGGCTCCCTACTCGCTGGGCAGAAAGGCTGAGAGAGTGGGTTCTCACTTCTGCACCCACCTCACACCGCCACCCCCCGGGCCCCGCCCAAGTCGGTTCCCCACATCGCCTGAACAGCCCTGCCCTAAGCCGGGATGCGGATGAGACAAGACAAGGAGCTTTTCTTAGGCCAGCGCATCCTCTCCCCACCCAGACCCCCAACAATTTCTCATCCGAGAGACAAAGTATCTTTCTTTTAAAGGCTCCATGTGGCATGTCCAGAAATATCTCATGTTATTAAGAAGGGGGATGGGGGTGGGGAAAGGGCCCGATGAGGCTGCTTAATAGCTCCTAGCAGCTGTGGAAAGTTTGATGCCGCAGGAGCACCCAGACAGAAAATTAAAAAACTAATAAAGTCCTCAGTGAGGGGGCGCTGGCATCACGACAGCTTTACTTCTCCAGACACCTAATAAAGAGACATTCCGGGACATTCACTCATAAGGGGAGTCTGCAGGGGTCACGGAGAACAGTGGAAGGCGAGCCATGGAAACACAGCAGTCACTCACATCCCTGCAGGGAAGGGGCCTTGGCTTCTTCTCCCCATCCCCCCCCCACCCCCTTGGCTCCATGTTAGGAAAATGGCAGGGTGCTCAGGACCAAAAGAAAAAACTAGAAAGACCAAAAAGAAAAAAACCCACAAAAGAAGAGGGGATCGATTACAGGAGCCCCGGATTTAGAAATGTCACTTTCACGGAGAGAATAAGCAGGAGGCTGACGTTTGACAGTTTAGGTATTAGAGGGACAGGAGGCGAGGTGGAGACTGGCATATGGTTTGGCTTCTGGAGGTGGTGGAAGAAGAGGGCTTGGAGGACTGAGGTTGGTTCAGCGGCGTTTGGGAAGCGCTCTCTTCACCATAGGTTTTCTCACGTGGA